TGTTTAAGAGAGATCTACTTTTTAGTGGAAAAATGGAGACAGATAAAACCAACATCAAACTGCATTCATGGTCAAATGAAAAAGAGAGAAATAAGGAATTAATCAGATAAAAGTTAGACTACAGCGCCATGCTTAGTTTAGATCAAAACCTCCAGCGAAGTCCGACACGGCCCCACTATACTTAAAAACATTTAAAGAACTACGAATTTAATTATAATAAGCAATCTTAATCTGAGAACAAAATGCTAGACTGAATTTGCACTCTTGTGATGACCCATCGCTTTTCGCTGAGGTTATAGTATTATGATATAATCAGTCTAGTTTATAAGTTGCAAAATTTCGCCTAATGCGTATGATATCTTCTTCGAACGACATATGGCCTCGTAGGGTCAACGCATATATTTGTAGGAAAGTCCAGCTATCAGTCCTTATTCATTTCATGCGAGTTATGGTGTCTATAATACTTAGCCAAAATTTACTTATGGCCTTGAAACCTAGTAATTCTGACCTTACTAACGATGTCATTATGAATCGGATAGTAGATAGACCTGGTTTATATTGAAAATAACGCTAGCCGGTGACCTACTGGAGCTCACGGACATGTGAGGAAATGGTAAAATGTCAAAACTATACGCCACATAACCTGAGTAAGATTTTTATTGAAAGCATAGAAAATAAGAAGATGAGATCGAAACAGCGGTCAACTCTAGATAAGAATAGTCTTTATGAAGCATGGCCAAATGCAAATCAACGACATCATAACCCCTACTCTTATAATTATTAATAAATTCAATTATCTGGCCTTCATGACCCTATGCAGACTGAAGCGACAACTGTTATCAAAGGGTAATTATACTTTGTTGAAGGCCTGACTTTGCCAGAGAAGTTAGTAATCAATAATTCTATCACCAGTAAGCATAATAATTAATTACTATTAATGTCTTAAAAGTAATGAGCAAAGCCAAAGGAGAAAAAATAGAGGAAAAAAGCAAGTATATGAATCCAAATTAGGTAATAAGATGCGGCAAAGAGTGAAGTACTAAATAATGTAAAAATAAGAAAATGAATCTGTTAAGAAGATTAATGACTATGCAGGAATGGAAAAACGTTGTAAAATGAGTTTAAGCATACTATGCAGAAAACACATTTATAATTACTGTGCAAACTATATAACAAGAATAGATAAATTCTTTTTTTGGCGAGAAGTCTTAAATATTTCTAGAACAGCACACTAAAAATGTTAAATACGCTTTGTTATATGCGTGAGTTATTTGTGTGCCTATTCGTTCATAATGTAATATAAATAGATAAATTCTAGGTTAATAATAAGTAAAAACATGTATATGTATAGATAAATTGCAAACAAGTCGAAAAATACTTGAAGGATAACCTAGAGGAACTAGCTCTTTAAATTCGCGGCTCTCATTGCAAAGTACATAAAAAAAGAGACCTTAATTAGTGAAATACTACAAAATATTCGTTAAGAAGATTTAAAATAATATTATATAACAATTATATAATAATTATAATGAAAAGCTTTGCATTTATATAACTCTTTGATGATTGGCCCGTTTTGTTTTATGGCTGCCCCCCTTTCATTTTGCATTGATTGAGCCCAGGCTTTCTCCATACAGCCTTTCCACTACGGTCCTTCCTTCAGCCTATGTAAGCCTATACCATACCCTCTTGCTTATCCCCGTATGCAATTCTAGTCCCGTCCTTTGGTTCCTTATTACGATAATTTTTTCGCTTTGCAGATGATGATGAACAGCAGCAAATTAGTTGTTAAAGACAGGAATAAGCCCAAAGGCGCCATGACAGCTTATGCTTGCTTTGTTCAAGTTATCCGTGAGGAGCACAAGAAGAAGCATCCTGGAGAGCAGATTGTTTTCAGTGATTTTTCAAAGAAATGTGCTGAACGATGGAAGGTGGGTCGGAAATTGTATTTTGTCTAATTTTCAGGTTATGTCTCCCAAAGAAAAGAAACGTTTTGAGGATATGGCCGCTCTTGATAAAGAGAGATATAACAGAGAAATGAATGATTACGTACCCCCTGATGGAGTGAAGAAGGCCAAAAAACGAAAAGCTGCAAGGGATCCTAGACAGCCCAAGCGTGCATGGTCTGCTTTCTTTTTCTTCTGCGATGAGTTTCGTGCTAAAATAAAGGAAGAACATCCTGAGTGGAAAGTTGCTGATATCGCCAAAGAGCTCGGACGTCGATGGGAAGAATGCCAAGAAAAACCAAAGTATGAAACGCTTGCTCAACAAGATAAACAGCGATACGAAGAAGTGAGTTGCTACTTTAAATAGCTAGAAATATATGAATGGGCCTAAATGCCCGTCAAAAACCACGAATTTAATTTTTTAGGATATGCTGAAATATCGCGCTGGCACATATGTTCCACCAAAGCAACCCAAGTTTGAATCATTGATGGCCGGCGTCTCCGCATCAGGTGATGGTCCCTCAATTAGCAACATATCCATTGAAAACACTATTGGTCGGCAAGCTGGCTCTAACGGGACTGGTGTTTGCGATCCAGATGAGGATGATGAGGGTGATGATGAGGTGGAGGGTGACGTTGAAGGAGATGAGGGAGCTGGTGATGTCGATGATTGCGGTGA